ATCAAATTTTGTGTTATACATATTAATACAAAAACAAAATTTTCTGCCCAAGATGAACAACGTAAAAGTTGATTAATGAAAAGCTAACTAAATCGTATCAAAATTTGAAGGTATATAAAAAATGGCATTTTTTAATGCGCCAACTGCGCCATTATACCTCCCATTACTTTATATAATTTATTTAAATAATATAAAGTGAAAATGCAAAATTTTTACCGGGTTAACCGGGTTACACGGGTCATGCGGGTCATTTGAGATAAACCGGGTCGTTACCCGGTTTTGAGTTTGTAATACGGGTCGGGTTATCCGGAAAAGAAATTTTATACGGGCCTAATCTCTAAAGTTAGACCTACACGCCTCTTTATTTAAATTACGAATTATAACTTTTGTGACCTATAAATAATGAAGCAATAAACTTGCATTAGAAGTATAAAAGACAGACAACATGCAAGTGTTCAAATTCATACGTGTTTTTATCCTTAACAAACATTGGTAAAGCTATGCTTGCTATATTGCACTAATCACTGTTAGAAAATTCAATAATCTCAGTACTAAATTTGATTGTTCCGAGGTATCTTTATAAAACATGTACGGAGACCTATTTCGATTTGTGATTCTACTATTGCAGACCATACTTTTTGAGCCTTAACGGTTTTGCGTTAATTCTCATATAATTTCTAAATTTGTGCAATAGAAAAATCAGTAATTCACATTGGTGAAAGTTATTTAATCTTATATCGCAATTTTACCTCAAATTCATCTCTATACACTCATAAGTCCAGGTGCATCTGCTGATCAAAAGGACCTTAATCATCGTCATTTTCATAAATCAGATATCCAGAGGGCATAGAATAAGTCTCGATTTGAATAACTAATAGTTCCCACAATGTGAGATTCGGAGGTGTGAATTTTTAAGCCAATACCACCAGCCGCTTTCGAAATCATGGCACATGTCGTATGCCCTCGATGGAATCATCTTTCATTATCTGAAGGAAACAACTTGAAGCTGAGGTCGTGGTGTTCTAGCGTTAAAAAGACGCATGTGTAAAATACTTTCAGACATTAAATTGTTGATTTAATTGCTGCATCGAAATCTTCGCCATGAATGCAAACAGCCACACGCATAAGCATGTATTGTGGCCTTTCAACTACTTTTTCGTCAATCCGCAAAAGATAGGATCTTTCAAGTGGCTTGAACCCATATTTATCGTATATGACAGCAGAATTAAACTTTTCCGATTGTTTTGTAACGATATTATAAGTCGTCTTCACTAATTTTTTCATTTTTCCAGGCCCAAGATTATTATGTTGAAGAACCAGAGAAATCAATGTGTCGTTCTAACAAAGTGCAAATCATTTCCGATCAAAATCCTTTTTAAAATTTTGTATTTTTTTTTTAAACTTCAATAACTACTTGATTAAATTAGGTAAAACCCGTTTTATTTTGATTATATATATTTGTAAAATCAAAATAAAAAAAAGTTTATTGAATTTGGTTTAGTGGTCATCGAGAAACCTTTGCTAGAAGTTTTGAAAAAACTTAAAAAAATCTAAAATCGGCAAATTTTTTCTTTTTGAAAGTTTAAACGACGATTTCTCAACAAACATCTATCCAAATTCAATGAAATTTTTTTAATTTTGATTCTATGAGATTGAAGAATTAAAATAAAAAAATTTTATTAAATTTGAATAGATGGATGTTGAGAAATATCGATTAAAAGTTAAAAAAAAATTTAGCCGCAGCTTGACCTGTTTGGCAACTTTTTTAAACTGACCCGTGGCATATTGTCCACCCGACGGGTGACCCAGGTGAAGATTTTTAGACGAGTCAATTCACTAAGTAATACTATTACATACATTGTGTAGTATATACCCGGTGCATTAAATTAGTCAAAGAAAAAAAACAAATTTTAGAGTAATTGGATTCAAGTACACGTGTATATAAAAAACCATATTGTATTCACTTTATTTGTATGCTAATAGCACCTTCGCTTAGTTCCAAACAATTAAATCTTAAATGTACAGTTATTAAAATATGTAATTTAATATTATACCATACATCTATACAAACGGTGATATACACTACATACATACAAGTCTATATAATACACATTTTTGTAATACCCCAATATTATTGAAATTTCAAATATTTCAGTGACTTGTTCAAACAAAACAAGGGCGTTTGCTAATCTTTTTCCTACTTTTAATCCAATATGTCTGAAACGTGGATTTCCACAAAGACTTAAAGAAATTAGCGTTTTGCTGTGGCGAAGATATAATCTAACATCCTTCCTCCTTTGTAACCAATCTGATATTGGTAAATACCTAAAGATTTTGAATGTTTTTAGAAAGAGTCTCCAATAATGTTTTCAATTCTTTATTCTTAAGTTGAATTGATATAAGATTCAAGGTTCGTTACTAATCCTTCTATTGCCTGAGATCGACGCAACAGAAATCTACAGAGGTTACTGCAGTGTTTTTAAACATTAGTTGTTTGCAATTAATTTCTTCAAGATATAATGTTTAAGACTTTTGCCTGTTCGAAGAAGCATTCTAATTAAATGATATTTAATTGCACATTCGAGATATTCTTCGCCGGAGTAATTACGTTGTCTAACTCTACGATACAAAAACCGGTCGATGCACTTGACTAAGAAGCACCTGCAATACAATGGGTAATTGTTCTGGTGGTTTTTGTGACACAGATCCTTTCGATAACCACACTTGAAATGCTGTCAATTGTTCACCAAAAAATGTTGAATGTTTATATTCGACTTCTGTGCCACCATTTTCGGCACTTAATAACGCTGGTAATTGTGCTAAACACATATCAACAGCTAGATCCCATGAATCCCACATTGAATGATCATGAGTTGGTGGTAATTCTGGATGTGACATTGATAACGTCTCATTATCCTTTATGCCAATAGAAAATTTCTAAACCATAAGATCTTGCCTTGAATAAATCACGTGGTAGAACATTCGTATCGGTAATTGCAGTAAAAATCCAATTTAATTCTCCTAAAGGTATACGACGGTCTTGCAATCTACCTGGAAGTTTCATTACCATGTCAACGGTGAGGTATGATGGTAACGGATTTTGTAAAACGATCCACCTCAAAGCAATTTCAATGGGGGAAGTTAGGCAAGATGTGAATAAATCTGCCGGTAAATGAGGAAAGTTTGTTAGGACCACATGCTGCTAATTGAATATTTAAAGGTATGCTAGATTCAGGTCGGTTATTTTCCACATAAATGCATAGAGAACCGAGCCATGATTGTAAATCGCCTAAGGATACTGGTATATATTGTGTAAAATTAAAACACCAGATCTCTCCGCTTGGTGTTGATTTTGGAACACCGTGGCCGTTATAATGAAGTAAAACGCGTTCTTCTTTGGCACTTTTTCTCAAATTTGTGCAAAACTTTTCCATCTCATCGACAGATCTAATATAACTCGTATATTCGAATAAAAGTGGCTTGGGAGCGTGATTCCCACCAATTGAGCTTTATCTTTAGTTGAAAACAATATTTTAGAAGTTTTTCTTCCATAAAACTTATATCCCGGTTCACTCCACAGTATGGGTATAAAGATGCGACACCATTCACGGTTTACAAGTATGCATGAAAATGAATTCTTAAAATTGTTACGAAGAATATTAATGATTATGTACTGTTTCATTCTAAGCATTTTAAGATGAAAAGTTGAGTTGAGACGCGACAAAATTTACATGAAAATCCTTGTTATGTCAGATGATTTTCATTAAACATGATTGGCCTATATCAGATATATATGCTCTATGCGAATTGGCCTTGATAACCAAAATTTTAAATTGTAATTGTGTGAAGAAGTTTTTCATCATATTATACATAAGGTTTATTGAAAGTTATTATGATAGTCTTAATGCTGCACAGTTTTAAAATCAACATTTGTTATCGTTAAATATTCTAATTATGAGTATAACCGAAAATTCAAAATCGTAATTGTGTAAAAGAATTTCCTACGTATCATTGTAAATTTTGTAATAGTTTTAATCATGGGCGCAAAAATATCAGATACAGCCAAACCTCTCTATAATCACACACTTGGGATAAAAACAGCGTGATTGTAAAGAAGTGTGACAAATATAGATGTCAAATTTATTACAATATTATTATTATATAATATATATATATATTTATTTATTAATTGTTTTAAGGTTTGATTGTAATACGTAAATATCTGTACTAATAATTAATACCCTGTTTTGTAAAAGCCTATAATGATAATGATGATACGTAATAATACGATATAAAGATTTTATAACTGTGCATTTCTTCAATAACGGTTTCAATTCTTGAAGTCGAATTGATGAGATTCAAAGATGTTTGAGTAATTGTTTTGCTAGTGCATGTTATAAAAAAAAAAAACTTATTACCATCTATAATAAGGTTATTCAAAGAATTTGTTCGGGGATGACATGTTACGATATTGGGCATTTGGACAATTTGGTCATCTTGAACAATGTACAACTGTTTTTTATAAATTAAACTTAATTCGGACCAATATTCGCTAATGCAAGATATCTCTAATTTACAGTATATCTAAAAAGATACTGATAATTATTACCATATAGGCGCGAATTAACGCTTCAGTCATTATTTTGAAATCCAGATCCCCAAAAAAATAGTATATATAGAATCTCAAAATAGCGCCCATGCGCATCCAGAATTAACACACTAGTATTATCGTTTAAAAAACATCACTAAACATCAACCATCGTTCAATCTGACTAGGAGATTAACGTAGAATTTTCGTCGAGGTTCGTTACTAATTCCTTTATTGCCTGGGATTGATATTTGCTGTTGGAAGGCGTGCCTTTGAACATAATTTGAGTGCAATTGATCTCTTCTAAAAAAATATTTTTCAAATTTTTTCCTGTTCGCAAAAGCATATTAATTATACAGGATTTAATCGTATGTTTTTTTGAACATAATTTGATTGCAATTAATTTCTTCTAAATATAAATATTTCGAATTTTTGCCCGTTGGACGATGACCTACGCGCCTCTTCAACAGGATATATTTAAATTACGAGTTATAGCGTTGGTGACCTAATAAATAATGAAGCATTAGAAGTGAATCAATAATTAAATATTAATAAAAGACAGACCACATGCAAGTGTTCAAATTCATACGTTTAACAAACATTGATAAAGCTATGCTTACTAGATTGCACACGCCACCTAATTACTGTTAGAATATTCGATAATTTGATCGTTCCAAGGTACTGCTGATTAGATTTACGATTACAAGAATGATTATAAAGCATGTATGGAGTACCCAATTCGATTTGTGATTCTAATATTGCAAACCACACTTTTTGAGTTTTAACGATTTTGCGTGCTAAACCTAATCCTTATATAATTTCTAAATTTGTGCAATAGAAAAATCAGTAATTCACATTGGTGAAAAGTATTTAATCTTATATCGCAATCTTACCTCAAATTCATCTCTATACATCCATAAGTCCAGGTGCCTCTACTGGATCAAAAAGACTCTAATCATCGTCATTCTCATAAATAAATCAGATATCCAGAGGACATAGAATAAGTCTCGTGCTCGCATTTCTTTATTAGTATACGCAATAAGATTCGAAGGATCAAATATTTTAAGCCAATATCACCTGCCGTTTTCAAAATTGTCTTAATGTTTCGTAGATGCCCTTGATGGAATCATCTTTCATTATCAGAAGGAACAACTTGAAGCCGAGGTCGTGGTGTTCTGGCGTTAAAAAGAGTCGCGACGCATGTTTAAAATACTTTTCAGACATTAATCAATTGCTGCATCGACATCTTCACCATGAATGCAAACAGCCACATGCATTTATAATTTATATCGTATATTACAGCAGAATTAAGTTTTTCCATAAGATATTATATGATGTTTCCACTAATTTTTACATTCTTCTAGGCCCCATCTGAATCGACCTAGGATTTAAAGAAATTAATGTGAATTTTCATCAAGATTTTAAAAATTCATACGAACTGAGATTGCTCTTTTAAAAATATTTTTGACATTACAAAATTAAGAGGTTTAAATGTTTCGATAAATCCTTACTTGGTTTTTTTCAGCTCAGACTTAGATCGGTCAAACTTTTGTTTTTCGAAGAAAATTCCCGAGTGATTTTATGCCTTTGCATTTTTCTTCAAAGAGGTCAGAGTAAAATTTCTCATCGAGGTTCTTAACTAATCCTTCTATTGCCTGAGATTGAAAACAATTACGCAACAGACATAAATCTACAGATGCTACTGCAGTGTTCTTAAACATTAGTTGTTTGCAATTAATTTCTTCAAGATATAAACGTTTAATGTTCGAAGAGGCATTTTAATTAAATTGCATATTCAAGCAAAATTCCATCTTCGTCTTCATAATTAAGACTAATCTCTAACTTCAACACACAAATACTGGGTGACAGTTGTAATATAATTCGTATATTCGAAAAAAGTGGCTTTGGTTGGCTTAGGAGTGTAATTTCCATTGAAGCCTACTCTTCAGGGTATAAGCTTTCCGCTTTCAAAGTATTGTCTTGGTTTGTTCCACAGTATGGGTATAATGATGCGACACCATTCACGGTTTACAAGTATGCATGAAAATAAATTCTTACACTCAGGAGGTATTGGTATCATTTCAAGATGAAGTTAAGATATGAAGTTGAGATAAAGTTGAGTTGAGACGAATTCCTTTTTATTAGTTGTTATGTCAGATGATTTTCATTAAACGTGATTGGCCGATATATTAATACTATAATACGATATAAAAATGTTAAATTTTCGTCGAGGTTCGTTACTAATCCCTTTATTACCCGGGATTGATATTTGCTGCTCGGAAGGCAAAATCCACAGAGGTAACGTAGTGCCTTTGAACATAACTTGATTGCAACTAATTTCTTCTAAATGTAAATACTTCAGAGTTTTGCCCGTTGGACGATGCCGAAAATTAGACCTATGCGCCTCTTCTCAACAGGTAGTAATTAATGTCAATTAATTTATTTAAATTACGAGTTATAATTTTCGTGACCTATAAATAATGAAGCAATAAACTTGCATTAGACGTAAATTAATAATTTAAATATTATTAAAAGACAGACCACATACAAGTGTTCAAATTCATACGTGTTTTTATCTTTAATAAACATTGGTAAAGCTATGCTTGCTAGATTGCACATTGCCATCTTAATCACAGTGCATAAATTACTATATTTGATCGTTCCAAGGTCTGCTGATTAGATTAACGACTATAAGAATCTTTATAGAGCATGTATGGAATACCCGTTTCGATTTGTGATTCTAATATTGCAAACCACACTTTTTGAGTTTTAACGATTTTGCGTGCTAAACCTAATCCTTATATAATTTCTAAATTTGTGCAATAGAAAAATCAGTAATTCACATTGGTGAAAAGTATTTAATCTTATATCGCAATCTTACCTTAAATTCATCTCTATGCACTCATAAGTCCAGGTGCCTGCTGGATCAAAAGGACTCTAATCATCGTCATATTCATAAAATTTTTAAGCCAATACCACCAGCCGCTTTCGTATGCCGTTGATGGAATCAACTTTCATTATCAGAAGGAGACAACTTGAAGCTGAGGTCGTGGTATTCTTCAGACATTAAATTGCTGGTTTCAAATGCTGCATCGAAATCTTCACCATGAATGCAAACAGCCACACGCGTTTATAATCTCAATCGCATATGACAGCAGAATTATGTTTTTCAGAACATTTCGTAACGATATTATAGGTTGTCTCCACTAATTTTTACATTCTTCCAGGCCCCATTTGAAACGATCTAAGATATAAAGAAGTTAATGTGAATTCTTATCAAGATTCTAAAAATTCATATGAACTGGGATTGCTCTTTTAAAAGTATTTTTAACTTACTTTGGTACTTGGTTTTCGGAAATTTTTTGGCGCAAAAAAGTTCGAAAAAAAATTTTATAAATGATTTTTGAGGGTGGCTTGTTGGTCAGATGATAAAATAAATTACTGTATCGGTATAATATAAATAGAAAAAGAACTCTCCCGTCAAAACCATAAATAGTGTAGAATTATTATACGTACTATTGTAAATCGGGTTACCGTAAATGGCCATATAAAAGACCCCCCATGGTAGTAGACCCCCCACTATTGTACCCGGGTCTATATCACGGGTTATTTATTTGGTTGAATGTAAAAGACCCGGGTCTCTAGTACCGGGGGGTACTTTATATAGAAAACTAAAATTACCGGTAATCATAAAATATATATCGATTTATTTAATAGTAGCAGTGTAAATTTATTATAAAGTTGTGCTAAATCTTTGATATATTCGTGAGTTACTTTTCTATATAAATTCTCTAAAATTTGATATTAAAAAGTCATAAAGACTTCCTCTATTTGCATATTAAAACACTACTATCCGTCAACCTAATTCTATATTATTTCTAGTCCCAAATATTTTCATATTCGACCATTTCATTTTCATAAAACAGATCCACTTCTTCATCATAATTTTCACTCGTAGCTAAACTAGCACCTTGAATTAAATCGCTGTCTTGAGTTGATTCATAAAAATTTTCATTATCTTGACTTAGATCATATGAACTTTCATCATCTTGAGTTAAATCATAGATACTTTCATTATCTTGAGTTAAATAGTAGACACTTTCATTATCTTGAGTTAAATCATAGACACTTTCATTGTCTTGTCAAATTATAAATATTTTTATTAATTATAAACATACTTACTATTACTATTCGTTTCTGAATTTTCAAATATATTATTTCCATGTTTGTGTTGATTTTTTGGATTTTCTACTCTATCATAATCAAAAATTCTTTCGTCCTCCAATCCATCTTGCGCAACAGAAATACCACAACATTTGAATGATCATATGATAAGGTTAGTATCGACTTGATTCCATGCTATATTTACCCAATTAGCTACTAAGCTATACAAAGGGCGCTGAATGCGGCCTGAAGGAGTTGCTGAATTTCATTTGCCATCCATTCGTTATAACATTTGCGATACTAAATAAATTAAATTTTTTTAATATTAAAATTAAAATTAATTAGAAATTTACATATAAAATTTTTTAAAATTTTTGATTAGAATTTAAAGTTAGAATTTTTAATAAAAGAGTATAAGCAGGTTTTAATCTGATTTCATTATGATTAGCAACAAATTAAATTTTATAATAATAAATAAATACCTTATTTTTAAACGATCTGTTAATACAAACATCTAATGGTTGTAATCTACTAGTCAATCCACCTGGAATGACTGCAATATTTGTATTTTTTTCGCAAAATCGACGTTTAACTGTATCTTGAATATGGCCTCGAAAACTATCTAAAACTAACAATGAGCGAGGACTAACAGACAAAGGTGCACGTTGGTTCCAAACATTTTCTATCCACCAAATCATCTCGTCTGAGTTCATATATCCTGCAGGATTTGTTCGGATAATAACTCCAGATGGAAATTCTTGCCGTAGTACATTTACTAACTTAAAAACAATTACTGGTGGTAGCTTTACCCCATTAGCCATACAACCAAGCACTACAGTAAAATTTGACTTTTCGTGACCAGTCGTACGAATTCCAACCGTTTTTGTGCCAGTTATATTAATAGTACGATTTGATGGCATATTAAATGCTAGTGGAACTTCATCCATATTACCCATAAGAGCAAGGGGATAATCGTGTTGTATACGTCGATAAAGTACAAAATTTAAGAATTGATTTATTTTTGGTTCAAGATCTTCTGGTAATTTTTGTGCAACAGTAGTTCGACAGCGATTGCTTAGTTTATGACGGTGCATAAAACCATCTAGCCATTTATCACTCCACTTACATTCATTAATATTTGGATAAATTGAAATAAAATGCAATTGCCTGGCTAACTGTTGGGCTTTAGTTTTAACCATATAACAGGAAACTAATTTTTGCTTTGCACGTAGAGATTTTACCCAAGAGATTAGATCAGTTTCCAATAATGGATACTTAGCGCTTCTTCCAGTATTTAATCGTTTAATGTGTAATGGTGAATGCATTAATTCATCTTTCTTTTTAATCCATTCACGTAATTGTTTTGGTTCTATGCCAAATTTTTCTGCGGTGTTTCGTTTGCTAGCACTAGGGTTTTTTTCCAAATATGTAATAATTGCCAATTTTTCCCGACAATTCCAACTTCTTTTTTTCTTTTTTGTAATATTCGCTTGTTTTAAGTTTGCTCTATGTCGTGCCATTTTTAATATTTGTAACAAAAAAAAACAGGCATTACAGTATTACGTTCTTGAGTTTAACAGGTAAAAGAACAGGTTATTAAAAAAAAAAATTAGGGTTGTAAAAGTTACTGAGTAACGAATAATGAATATAATTTTTTAAGCAAAAAAAAGGAAAAAAAAAAAAAGTTAACTGCTTTTAAATTTTACAAAAACTAAATTATTAATCTTGTATAGCCTAAACGTATTTATTTTATACATAATCACGGATTACGTACTCGTGTAATATATACCAATAACAGCGTCAAAGAAATTTTAGATTATCACTACAAGATTTTCTCTTTATATACTCCCCAAACAATAACCCCCTAATTATCGTACCCTCCAAACAATAACCCCCAATTATCATACCCCCCTCCAAACAATATACCCCCGGGTATAATTTAAGTTTTTTGATCAGTGGAATGTAACATACCCGGGTCTTTTATATGGCCATTTACGGTAATTAATATATGATTGCATGAATAATATAGTAATAAAATATGTATTAGTAATAAAATATAAGGTATCGATCCAAATAGGGGAGATGTCCAGCTTAAGCTTTCGCTTCGTGAATAAGCTTTGTTCTTAGTAAATAAACATTGTATCTGTGTAAATACATTATAGGTGGTAGTATCTGGTATGATACTCCAGTCATCACATAATTAGGCCAAGCAAGGTTAAAGACCGATAATAAATTAAAGTAGTACATGTAGTGTTGCTAAACTATATGACACTTTACATCTTATAAACTTATCCAACAAAAAAACTGGAACACTATCTTTATTATCAACTTACTTTTAACAACTAAAAACATTTTTATTAACCTTATTAAAGTTAAATCACATTCAACTAGCTCTCTTCAAAATCAAGCTAACTTTTTAGCTAAACGTGGTATAAACAAACCAATTATAGAGTTCCTTCATTTATACTTCAATCTTTCTACTCATTTCCTTTGGCATAACTATACAATAAAATTCAAAATTCATTCATTTATCAAAAGTGCCACTACAATTTAAGAACTTCTATTATAAACTTCTTTCAAATTTCTTAACAATTACACATCTAACATAAACTGGAATCTCATCTTCAAAATTTTTAACTCCCTTAAACATTGTTCTTCAAAATACTCTTTTTATATCAAAGTTCTTACAAATAATTTACCAACTATGCAGAATCTTAAAATCTGATATTCTAATCTTTATACAACAAATGGCCGTTGTAAATGCTCTATAACAGAAAATACTCTCTATATATTTCTATACTCAAAAAATAATAAAGATATTAAACAATCACTTCTTAATATAATCTTGAATATATTACATCAACTTCAAATCACAGATACTATATCAATTACAATTCTTAATATTCTTTCACAACCTATATTCAATTCTATAAACTCTCAATACAATTTTTTACTCCCTACTATTCTTGATATTTATCCAAAACCAATATATTATACTCTTAAAGCCCTATTCAAAAAACAAACAGAATCTTTTATAATCAATTTCTCAAACAATCCACAGATTAAATATATGAATAAAGATTAAATAACAGAATATATCTTTATTAACTCATTTTTTACCAATATGCATATCAGAAAAGAATAATGGTAAACTAACGGATATCAGTATTAGGGTAAAATAAAAGATAGATTTTGAATATATAATAGTATACCTTTTGTTTCCTAATACTATCTCAATATTCATCTTACATGTTAGTAATATAATAGTAAAATACAGGTATACAAAAAGGTATAAAAAAATATATATTTTTTCTTCTTTTATTATCCTGATATTTAACTTATATGTTTATAGCATCATAGAAGGATATAGGTATGCAAAAGGTATAAGAATTATATATGTTGTTT